GAGAGAGAAAAAAAAAAAAAAAAAAAAAAAAAAACGGCAGGGTAACAACAACGGCCCCGCCTCCCTCTTCGTCACACCACATACTCTCGCCACACCGCCTCGACGCCGCGGCGGCCCCACTTGTTATTCTAAGAAGATAACTTAGATAAGTCATAATCAACGCATGGTTATGACTTATACGGCAGAGCCAAGCATGGTTATGACTTATACACGGCAGATTATTCTCCAGGTTCACACTCACCAAGCATATGACCAGTGCACAAGTCGGCAGCCAGCCAGATCTATCTGCAATTTAAGGCAGAGCCAGAACAGGCCCAACTGCCACAATATCGGCATTACTCAACCCCTCCCCACCGCTCTGCTGGCAGTGCTACCGTCTTCACCCGAATAGAACACCCGGTCATTATCGCCGCATCTGGACCGAAAGTTGTGCCAAATACAGCTATTATAATGACCGGGCGTTCTATTTGGGTGAAGACGGTAGGTGCATTGAGGGACTGTGCACCCCACGGCGAGGAGGCTTCTGCCATTCTGAAGAAAGGAGTAACCATATCGCAATCTTTCTTTCTTTTCTTTTTTTCCCCCCCGCAATCTTGATAGTACCGATGTCAAGGCATCATCAATCAACCGACAATCCTATCATCATCATCATCATCATCATCATCATCGTCGTCGTCGTCATCATCGTCATCATCATCAATCATCGGATGATCGATGACGATCGATGATGATGAAAACGAAGATTGATGATGACAGCTGGCGCTGATGATCATTAGTAATCATACGGTGGCACAATCATCGATCACCCTACTTCCGACACAGCCACCCCATCGGGACCGTTAACCCACCGTACTGCCGCCCGCATATGTAATCATACGGTGGCACAATCATCAATCACCCTACTTCCGACACAGCCGCCCCATCGGGACCGTTAACCCACCGTACTGCCGCCCAGCATATGTAATCATACGGTGGCACAATCATCAATCACCCTACTTCCGACACAGCCACCCCATGGTGACCGCTAGCCCGCCGTACTGCCGCCCATCATACGCCGAATGCATTTCCAAAGGAGTGCTGGGGGTCCGCCTATCACCCCCGCCGACCAATGGCCGCCCATCCATCAAGTTGTGGGTTGGTAGGCCGTCTACAGGCAATCATGGGCACCTTACACCCAAGAGCAGTCAGAAAATCACAACTTGTATGGCCAGCATGGCCATTCCCGCACTATAATTTTTCCGAGAAAGTGCAATTGAATTTGGACATGACTATGTCCAGGTTCGTCCGGACAGGGGCCTAGTTTGAGAACGCCCTAAAATAAATACACCCGTCCAACCATTAAAACAGCCAGCCTCCTCACGCATTGCAACCACCACACCGCACTTCAAATCATTCACAAAAGTGACACAGAAGTCCTTCGGGACATCCGTTACAATTGGAACGATACAGAGAAAGAAGAGAAGATTCGCATGGCCCGTCCGCAAGGATGACACTCATAAATCAAGAAAAGGTCCTCCAGTGGAGATCCAAAAAAAAAAAAAAAAAAAAAAGGACAGAATCTGTACATAATACACGCCAAGAGGCGGAGTGTAGCATACAACGAAGAAAAAGAAAAAAAAAACGCGTACCGCCGAGTCAGACCTCACAACAGAAAAGAACAGAACTGCCAGAACCTATGGATGCTGGACAAATTCCGAAAATTTAGGACACCTCAAGAATAAACCACAAGCAAACTCACACCGTATCAAGCTACTGCTCTCCTCTCTCTCTCTCTCTCTCTCTCTCTCTCTCTCTCTCTCTGTGTGTGTGTGTGTGTGTCTGTGTGGGTAAAGAACAAAAAAAAAAAAAAAAAAAAAGGAGAAGGAAACAGATCTCTTTCTTAGCAAGAGGAGAAGCAATCAACTCCAACCAACAAATGTTTTTTGGATTGATTGAGAAATGGATCGATTGTACAAATTGTTAACAATCCGCAGAATACTAGAAGCAGAAGCGAGCTGCAACGACCTTTCCTGCTCTTCTCCTCCTCTCTCTCCCTCCTGTTGCCAACCCCCCTCTCTCTCTCTCTGATGGTCAGGGACACCATGCTCATGCTCATGCTCTAACAAACAAACACCTGTTATATAAATTGGTATACATGACATTACATTACATTACACAAAAATTGACAAAATACATGTGTCACGATCTCTCAAATGCTGCTACCATGCATTCCATAACAATCCATCCACTAGATATATCCGGTATCCTCCCGTCCCGCTCCGTATGGACAATCCAAGATCCCGGACGGGGAAGAAAAGGGGTGCGGAGGACTGGGCAGAATCATTTGAGATCTTTACGGCCCCTCTCGCAGGTCCATGCATGTGACAAGATAGCGTTCAAAACTTCGCTTCCACAGAAGCTTCTCGTCTCCGTGACTAGGCGTAAAGGGCACGTAGGCGGCGAATTAGGCGCGAAGCGGTGAAAGTCGCCAGCTCAACTGGTGCACCGTCCTCCTTCCACACCAATCCGCCTCGACCGTAGACAGCGATGGATGGCCACCGCTTTCTCTGTAGACAGTGATGGTCGGTTCTCCTGGGCTGCTCCCCGCATCCCTCGCCTTCTCCCCTGCCCGGTACAAACACACACCGCAAAGGCAACAATGGCAGCAGCTACCAAAACATCTCCCGTAAACGACGATTGCAGATAGTCTCTGTACATGCTGACATCAACGGAAATCTCTCCCAGCGACAAAGGTTGCCCGGAAGTATAACAGACGAGCGATTGGGAAGGGACGTGGAGCAAGAAGAACAAATCGTCGACAATAATTGTTGGTCCTCTCCTGGCTTTGTGAAGACAGGATAGGGATCATAGGGTAGACGAACACGTCTAAATCCTGGCAAATCGCCAAACAGTGCGAACACGATGAAGACAATACATCAAATGTAGAAAGGAAAAACAACAGCAATGTGCCACTCCTTGTTTATAATCCACAGGTGGCCGCGCAATTGATCCATTCAGACCCTGGCTTCATCATCTCGCCCATAATAACAATGCTCAGTACTTGCTCAGTACTTGTACTCTCCTCTGTGTTTCTTTTGTCCAGAAGTCGAAAATCTCTCTCTCTCTCTCTCTCTCTCTCTCTCTCTCTCTCTCTCTCTCTCTCTCAGCATGTGTTTGAGATCAACGGAATTGCGCGGATGAGACCATGCGAGCTAAATCGACATAAAAACTGGCTGAACTAAATGGGCACCATGATTAACAAACATCTTTACAAAGGGAAAAAGACGCAGAGGCGTCAAAAAGTTTCCCACTGCCAAGCCAAGCAGTAATCTGAGGGGGGGAGGGGGGAGGGGGAAGGGGGGGGGAGGCCTCCCTAAGTAGTATTCCCTACAAAATTCCCGTGAACACCTGCGCATCACGATGAAACGGCCTCTCCCTCTCTCCCTGCCTGCTCCTGTAACCCCCTGTCCAACAACACGACGCTTCGCTGTCTCTCTTTCTTGAACCAACACTTCCGTCGTCAATCCAATCTTGCCTCCCTCTCTCTGTTTTCAAATTCCAAAATAGTTCTCTACCACATCCGCCCGCTTGCCTTTCGACTGACTTCGCTCGACTCCCCGCTCTGAACGTCCATCGTCATCTCAGCAGAAGAGATCTCTTATCGGGCGTACACTACACAAAAACCTACACAGACCCTGCCACCCATTGCAAAAAACCAAAATTGTCCTCGAGGCCAACTAGCACCTTAGGTCAGGAACCTGTCCAGCCTGGTTGTCTAAATGCGCTTTGATCGCCCCTAAGTGTCACGGTCTTCTTCTGTTATTTGCTTATCGACGAAAACTCTCTCTCTCTCTCTCTCTCTCTCTCTCTCTCTCTCTCTCTCTCTCTCTTCACATGCATGTGAACACGGGTGTTGAAACGCCAACTCGGACATTGCTGTACAATCAACTGACAGCCTTGGAACAAAGCCATCTTCTCTAGAAGTACAGAATCGGCCATTCAATGCAAATGGCTGGAATTCAAACAGCATACAAAACTTCGATATGTACATTCTTCAGACTGACTCACTCAATCAATCACTCGATCATCACTGATTACTGCTCCCTGCTGGACCTCTTTCTCTCTAAGTGCTCACGTGTCGGTGCTTGCGTAGTCTGTTCCCCTTTGCTTCATTCACTGTCTGCTACCATTCTGCTCATCTTCGATTTCTCTGCAGAGAAAACAGAATAGCTAAGATTATAGCCGAATGAATGAAAATCGCTGTTCCTGGCCCTGGCAGCGACAATGGACAAAATTCATCCTCCCTTTGCTATCT